CCAGCAGAAAAGACACAAGCGACCCCAAAGAAAAAGACACAAGTGAACCCCCAAAAAAAGACACAGGTGACCCCCCTTCCCCCACATTCACACAACACCACCCGGCAATGATCGATTTTAAATTTGAAGTAACCTCTGACACAAGGAACACCACCAACAACCCACAACAACAGTCAATAAACAGACACATTTCTGGGTAATATGATTGGATGCTTGTTCTTTGTTCTAGTCTTGTTTTAAGGGTTGGAATTTGAAGAGGTATCCACAGGTCAGGTTCGTTCTTTAGCCGAGACACCACATGCCCATGCGGCGGCATGTGGAGGGTGGACCGAAGACAAACAATGTAGCTCGTTCAAAAAGCATGGTGTCACAGCGCGGGAGGGGGGGAGTGATGCTAATTTGGCAGGCTAAATAATCTAAATATGTGTAGCTGTGTATGTGATACTGTACACATATCATGGTTCTGCTTCTTCCCTTCTTTCTGTTGTGCGGTTCACCGCATTTGATCACAGGCGCTGTCTCTTTCGCTCTCTCTGCCCTCTACTGCGCTCTCATGTGCCGTCTCCTGCCGTTCCCTGTGCCCCCCCGATGCGCCATTGCCGTCCCGATATCACCCGGCAAGGGCCCACGCAAGCTCATCCCAGGTCGTGAAATCCTGACACGGCAACTCCAGCCAGCATTTTTGCGAGCATTCTGCTTGATGCGATGCTTACGAACACAGTGGTTAGTATGACGAGAGTCTTGTCGGGCATGTGCAGCCGTCGTTGCCTTGCCATTCGTTGTCTTGACAGATGACACGTGCGAGTCTGTCCGATCTACGTCACGATATTGCCTCATTTTTCAACATATACATCGTTGCACATCCTGCTACTGTTGTCGAACCCAGTGAAACACTCCCGGCGAAAGGCGGTGTCCGAATATAGCCTTCTCAAATTCCTGCTGTCCCGTTTCGTCCGGTGGCATTGCATACAGTTTGTTTTGCAGGATGTTCCTGGGGATGCGCTCGAATTGGCCTCGACTCCTTCGAATTCGACGGGATCTTGTTCAGTCTGTTCACGCTCCTACTCTGAAGAGCTTGCCCCGAAGAAGGCAATGCACGGGGAGAAATCTCTCGAGGCCCCTGCTCAGCTCAATATGCCGAAGAACCCAAGCAAAGAAGGGACGTGGGGCCGTCTCGTGACATGGTAGTTACATCCCTAGGCCGCCGGGAAAAGCCTCAGAACTTCACAGAAGCCATCATGACCAAGCAAGCCTCTTACGGAGCATGGTTAGGAACTAAAGCAGTGCCAGTATGAGTTGCAGGTAGAAGGCAAAGATGCTGAGCACCGAAACTGAAGGTTGCATGCTAGACCGTAGAACCACGGCATACCACGGCTCCCCACACCCTCCCGCATCTGCTGCCTCCACGACCTCAGCCAAAGGCGGGCAGGCAACTACAGCAAGTCAAGCTCAACAAGACATGGGCAGAAACCCATCCCGTCGCCTACCAGCACCCAATTCTAGCGAACAACAAAGAGCTCTTGACAAATGCTCGATACAGGAACCCAGAGGTTCAGGAGTTTAGGATTCCTGTGGCAAGCATACTAAATCATTCCACACATGAGGGGCAAATGCAATGTTTTTGTTGTTGCGTTTTTTGATGTTGCTGCACGAGGGCGACCTCTACGTCCCAAGATTATCTCCAGCGGGCTTCGGTTTGCGGCAAGCCGAATCGCAATGCCGCGTCTGAGTGCTGCGCGCATTTCTCCCCTTTGAGCAGGTCAGATCTAGGCCTCGGCCAGACGGCTTCGACTGAATGGCTCAGGCTGGGTATCCGAAGTCCCGACCCTCTAAACGCGAAGCGATGGACGCTACTAGCAGCTATACTAGCATTGCTCCTTTCCCGAATCCTTGACAGCTCTGAAGCATGGATCCAGTAAGCTCTGCGCGAGCTTGGCGCCTCATCTTCATCCTCTAGGGTTGAGGCTTTGATCAGATTTTGGGCGTGGCCTCGAGGCTGATGCCCCGGTTAAGTTTCAGGGACGTCTATGGTCTAGGAGAATCTGAGATCTGGGCCTTAGCCGGCTTCAACTCTAGAGTTGCCTCTGTGTCTCTGCTGCGCTAGGGCTTGGCGGCTTGTCATGCGATGCCTGCTTGCGGTCACGCAACATGCGCACGATTGGAGTTCCACTTGGAAGTCTGAATCGGCCGCCCCAGCCAGCTCCAACAAATGCGCAACCCTGCACTCTAATGCCGTCGCAAGCTGGAAAAAAGTTTCGCCCGATTAGCCCGAATCCTGAACATCGTCATCTCAACCCACTGGTGAACCCTAAACTGTCGAGCCCCAAAAGGCTCGCAAACATGGCCTGAGAAGCTTCGTAATTATCTTGCGGCACTTGCATTGGCAACTGCTGAGCTGAAATTTTCACTCAAAGATTCATGCTGTTCATGCCAACAACATGGCATTCGGCTTTCTTCTTGGGTTTTAGACCTGGCTCTTGCTTTGTCTTGCTTTTGTCCTTGTTGAGTGTTGCTGCTTCAGGTGTTTGTGCGACACGCGCTTGAGCTGTGTAAACCCTGGGAGCGAATATGAAGAGTAGCTTGCGACTCTTAAGTAATGAAGATACCACCACTTCACTGTAGTTGCGTGTGACTACTTCTTGTTCGAGCATGTGCTGCAAGCCCTGTGCGCCTGTCCGACGGGGAGAAAGACAAGACCTTGAAAGGTCAATAGACTGAGCATGAGCAGAACGACAAGGGTACTGTCGATAGAAAACGGAATTCTGTAGTCAACAGCATGCACTGTCGTCCGTCGCATTTGTGACGGTTTAACCAGTCGTAGCAGCCATCAATGCAGCATCAAGGCATTTCATCCTCATGGTCGCAGTAGTCTAGTCAGCGTCTCTGCCGCAAAACTTGTTCCCCCTCAGAAGTGGGTCTGGCATAATTGGACCTACATCATGTCGTATGGTATTGACGATGCTGGTGCTGCTCTCAAGTGCTCCAAAGAAGCAACACCGTGCGATAACAGCAGAAGGAACCACGATCACCGGTGCCGGCCCGAAGACACTTCCTCACATCTCGGACGTGATGGTTCGACAAGGCGAGGTGCAGTTCAATGGAACCCTTGCAGCATTAGGTAAACATGGATCTGCAACAGGCTGGGCAATTCTACGGAATCCTTACTCCATCCTGCAGACATCGCAGTAAACTCGAAAGCCTCAACGAAGGGAGACCTGGTTCTTGGAAGACCCGTCTCCCAAGCACTGGGCCCTTGGCAGGTCTGCTCGGCGAGGCACCGCCGTTGTGCCGCGAAGTCCAAGCGTAGGGCCAACAGCATCGGGGCCACCTCCAAAGACGAAAACTGTTGTCGCTACAGCTACACTCCGGACTTCATGGCGTCTTCGTGACCTAATGCATTAGCTACAGTTTCTGATTCACGGCGAATTATAGGCATGAGCATGCTGCATCCATGTAGGGTCCACTACAGTATCCATAAGGCCAACAGGAGTCCACTGTCAGGAATTGGGCAGGAGCATTTGTAAAGACCAGACTGCGCTGCACGAGCAAACGGCTTTCCACTGCCCGTCGCAAGGCGAGTCCAAGCACCAGCACTCTACAAGCTTCCTGAACAAACTGCTACGCAAACAAGCTTCTCCAGCTCCGCAGCCGAAGGACTCATCTGCAAACAGCCGTGCGCAATGCGAGCGAGAAAGCTTGGTTGATCGTGTGATGCGTGTCGACTCGGCTGTTCTCGACGATGGCGTCGACTAAATTCATGTTGAAGCTGTCATGTCAAGCATGGATCGAAATGGAAAACAAGCTGTTCGTTGCCGCTGCCCATATCCAATGGCACACGTCTCGAGAGCTGACAGCTCGAATGGGTAGTTCAGCGTGCAGCCCATCACTTGGTCGATCTCAATCTTCTTCAGCATCACTGCTACGATAGCCGCGATAGCAATGTTCTATTCACAGGTGAGGCCATTCATCTTTGCAAAACCAGTCAAAACCCAGGATAAATTATCTGTTGAGCAGCCGACCGCCTTCTCGTATGCCGTAGGCATCCCATGACAGAATGGGTCAAGCGATCCGTTTTTTGTAATCATGCTCGTAGCCAACCTCCTGAAGTGACTTGGTGGAAAGACTTCTGGACACAGTGACCCTTCACCACGAGGTGAAGACTTCCCCCTCTGACATACTTTTTTCCGAGACGGTGCCACCGCTTGTTTACCTAAGCTCTGCAACTGTCCCCCCTTTGTCACTACACAGCAGCTTTCCAATCTTTGCGTGTTCGGTTTTCCTTGATAAGACCCCGGTCTTGCTGAGTGCTAAGATTTGACCACAAGCTTGGGTTCGGATGCTTCAAGTAGTCCTCGAGAAACTGCTGGCCGCCAACCATTGTCTCGTAGCTGGGCGGGCACTCGAGTTTCAAAAAGCCACCGTCTGAATCATCGCCTTTCCCTGCGCCCTTGCACAGAAATTGCATGGCTGCTGGCTTTGCCACAGCATCCTCGAAAACCCAAGTTGGCTTAATTGCGATACTGAGCATGAGTGACCTTCCTCGAATTCATGTGATGAGAATCAACCAAGGAATATTGGCCGTCTTGGAGTCTGGGTCGCCAGAAGCTAGCAGACTTGTGAGCGCTGTGCTTTGTCAACCCACGCCGCCAGAATCTTAGCACATGCAGTCATTAAATCAATGCTTGTCCAACGCCTCAGCCTACTTCATGGGGCCACACTTTGCGCAGACTCGGGTGAGTGTCAGTGTCGTCCTCTGAGAACTGTCGTCGCCTGTATAGGTAGCATCGTCGGCCACGCTGTCAACGGCCCAATGCGATCCAGTGCCCAAGTGCAGGACAAGCGAACCAAAGCATTGCACCAAAAAGATGCTGGCTGTCTCAATGCATAGCTCTGAATGGATGCATAGCAGTGTGTGTGTGTGTGTGAGAAGCTTGCATGTGCATGTGACATCGCAAGCCAATTCCGACGTCTTGTGCCCTTCAGGAATGATGTCCTTGTAAAGTTTACCAACCCCTTTCCTTTGAGTTGCATGTGAAATCAAAGGACGCACTGTCTGCGTGCCCTAACCGCAGTGTGGATCTATCTCACACCACTCGGGGACAACGCGTGTCTCGCGTGTGAGGCATGCGCGCAAAACGGGGGCGGCTTAAACTGCGAGCATTTGCAAGAATTGCCACACGTCTGTCAATCACCTATCATCTCAGCCTTTCAAGGTTCGAGTCAAGCGGCAAGCGTTCAGGCATTTTTCAGGCTTTCTGTTCATATCGCAACCAACAAACCTTGCTCCCATCTCAAGGAAGAGCCTTCGAAGAATTCGAAGACCGGCCCTTAAATACCAGGATAAGAATGCTTGAAACTGTGTGACGCATACTAGCTGAGAGCCGCTATAGCCTCGAAGCACTGCGCGCCTGTCCAAGATCTGCGACGTGTAGGCGCTTCGGCACGTCTCTGGGCAAGTAAACCTTCGTGGGCGCTCTCAGGAAAAGTTTTCGACAGAGCAGATCTTTCAAGTCCCACCTGGTGCAGGCGCTGTGCGAGGCGACCGAGCCAGGCTCCGAAGCTCGCCTTCGCGCAGGGCAAGACCGGTGCGGAGCGGCGGAGCGGCGGAGCCCGCAGGCCGCAGATGGCCGCAGGCTGGAGTCAGCGGGCCTCTTCCAGGTAATCTGGCGGTTGCCAGCCGTCAGGAACTGGGCTGGAGAGTGCGAGTGGCGACTTCGCCACGTGCCATACCTGCCAAGTCACTCTCATCCTGGTCTTGGTGGGACAACGAACACTGCAGCTGCGAATCCCTGTCCAAGCTTCAACTCATTTGCCCATCACCCCTTTGCCGACACTCGCACAGTATCCTGAACGGATCACTACCGAAATCTTCACTTGCTCTGCCAAAGCCACTGTCTCTCGCTCACCTCTGCTGGGCAATCCCCGAGGTGCGGGGGTGGCGGCGAGATTTCGGCAGCCTCCTTTGCGATGGAGGTTATTTCAGGAGGAGCTGGAGAGGTGCATGTGCTTCGGGCCCTAGAATGCCATCATGCTCATGCCGGACAACGAGCCGATGGCCTGTGTGGCATGTAATCAACACAACCCCTAGCCCAAGCAGCAGCCAGAATAATCATGGTAAGGGAGGCATCCACGCGTTAACGAGCCTGCGGTGCGGCACGCATGGCCCAGACCTGCGCTGTGTGGAGCAAGTGCCTGGCGAGGAAGGCGGTATGCGACTCGGGACCAAAGGCTGTTCCAGGTCGAAACGGTTTCTCATCCTCAGCTCGAGCCAAGAAATAGTCATCATATGTTCGAACAGTACTGCTACAGCAGAAGAGACTTGCATTGTAAGCTGGCTCAGAAGCGACTGCGGACAGTAGTGATGCAGTCAGTAGTCGTACTGGACACCAACCCAGTTGAGCTAGAGGCGCAAGAGGAAAGGCACTGCGAGAAGTGTTCTCAGTCGCAACCACCCAGATCCACCACATGGTCCGAAGTGCCGAACGCAAAAGCCGAGACTCCTCTCCGAGATTGCAGAGTTCCAACCTCTACCGAGAGGCCCTGGAGCCTGAACTCGGCAGTTTCTGTCCCCAGGGTCCCCCAAGCCACGGGCGCCTCAGCTTCAGAGCAAGCTCTGGGCTCAACGTATCGAGGCCTTCCCGAAGGCCTCGAACGAGATCCTCAGCCTAGCACGACACAAGCGGAAGCAGCTTTCCAACGGACCCTAACGTCCTAAGGTCACCAAGGTCAAAGAGGGGTTGTGGACATGAGCCTCGCACATGCCTGGATGTGCCTTGTTTCGGCCTCGCCTCATGGCAAATGCCACGCGCCCAAGAAGCGATGCCCTGTCGCTGCCGCCGCCACTCCGCCTGCGAGCAATCGCAAGTGATACAACAGGATCCACTTCGTGTAGATAAATTGACACAACTCGTGACTTACTAGTGTCTTAACGGCCGCTATGTTTGTCACTCAGCATAATAGCAGTCTTAAGCGCATTGCTGTTCTTCTGAAAATGTTCTTGGTGGCTGCACTGCACGGTGCTATCTGCTATCATGGAGGAAGCCCAGAACGATTACTAATGCCACAATTGCCGATATTGGTTGTTGTTGCTGTTGCTGCCTTTGGTACTCCTTTCATTTCTGCCACCATGGCCATCTGCCGTCAGCATCTACTTTCTGCTTGACATACGCGCTAAGCTGCCACTGTGGCCAATCGCGCCGTCAGCTCGCAGATGTTCAGTCGGCATAATAAGGGCTGTTAACGCTATGACCGATAGTGCCATGCATGTTGGGGCCCCACCTGCAAAGATGACTCGGAGCCAACAGGCCTAGGCCATTTTTGGCAGATGAAAAGTACATCAGATCTGGCCTCGCTTGAGTGCCCCTTTGCAGTCGTGGAAGTTTTTGGGCTTTGTTGCCAGGGTTAAGATTCTAGGATTCAGGGCTTCATGCTTGAATCGTCAAGGACTTAAGACTTGCGGTAGGAAGCTGAACATGCTGCTTTCGTGTCTACCTGGGAAAGCCTCAAAAGCTGCCACAGCCCAATGTCCCCAGCCTCACCCATTGCTTACACTGCAAACCTTCAACTGTCTTCAGTGGTCTGCGACTTCTCCTCTTCGAAAATCATACGTGAATCCTGTCGGTGCGAGGCTGGCAAGTGCTGCCTTCCACCCGTTTGTCATCGGGCCAATTCACGAGGCACCACGGAACCGCAAAATGCATCGACCCTCCCAAACCTCTACGTGCACGGGCCCGCAAACGCCACGAAGGATTTGTTGGGTTCCGCACTCCTCCTCCGCCTCCTCCTCACATAGTCCGCTGGAGCTGATGCACAAGATCGTGGCCTGCGGACGGTTCAGAGTTTATGGGGCATTGCGGGGGGTGGGGACTTAGGTCTACATGGTGTAGGGCTCAAGGTAGGGGGCGAGTTTTTCTACTTCTTCCAGCTCTAGTGGCTCCAGTTTTGGCTCCTCGCTTCAAGCCTCTGTGCCGAGTCCTCGACAGTGAAACCCTCGACTTTGACTTTATTGGTTTCTGCTCTAATAAATGAACATATTGTAAACGAGGTTGCGTGTTCTAGTTTACCGGTGCCCAAAATGCTACGGATGTACTTATTCGGGTGCATAAATGCACACTCGCAAAGATTAGTACTGCATACAAGAGCGAACGAACGGCGCAACTTTCTGTGCCGGGCAAGCCTCGCATGCGTGTAAACATATGCCTATAAGTGCAAAAAGGAATTTGCATGGCTACTGTGAGCTGGCATGAGTGCAGGTGAGTGCTGTGTACGGGTGTGCGTAGCAAGTTGTCTTGCATAATTGTATGATATTGTATGTAATTCGAACGCCAATAACTCTTGGCTAGGTGTGCCAAGTGTGCACGGTAGTGCACGGTAGTACCGGTGCAGTAGCCTGTTGGTCGCTGCCCAGCGGTCTTAGCCGACGCAGGCACGCTTAGGGACTGGAAAGGAGCTAAAACTCGTGAAACCGAACAACAGTTGAGAGTCTGTGTTTGCTTAGGATTGCAAGACCGGTCTCTTGGCTGCACGATTGGAGGCTGTTCTGGGAAACTGCAGTTCCCTCTGCGTCCCGTAGGTGGCGCGAGCTTGTGCTCGTTTACCGCGGTTTGGTGCTGGACGCGTGGACCTCGAGTTCACGCTTGCGGCCTCTAGGTGTGGCGTGCTGCCGCCCTTCCGGCCAGTCCCCGAACGTATGGGGTATATGGCGTGGTTGCAATGGAGGAGGGAGACGGGTAGCCGACCCACGAAGAAGCGGCGGTGTGTCGACTTCCCCTGAGGAGGAGGCGGCTTTGTGGCGTAAGGATGCGTAAGGTCATGGGGTTCCTCCACGATGCCGACAAGGACCTCGACGAAGGAGAGGAGGATGACGAGGAAGATGAGGAGTCTCTCCAAGGAGCCCCTCCTCCCGAGGCATCGGTGGATGAAGGTGAGGATGAGCGGCTGTTGGAGCGAGCAGTGTGGTGGCCAGATCTCGCCAAAGACGTCGCAGTCTGGGTCAGCAAGCGCTCGGCGTGCATTAAGGGCCGCGCTCGGCCGACGAAGGTCGAGGCCCGAGGCTCGGGCGGTCAAATGTGGCGCCGAGACCTGCTGGCAAGAGGTCTGCGTCGATTGCGAGGGACCTAATAGCGAGGACCGGGAGGGTCAACGCTATTCCCTCACTTATTTCGACTGCCTTAGCCATGCAGTCCTCCTATAGAGCCCATGCGTACGCTCACGCACTCGGAAGTGCGGAGAGCATGTGTTCGCTGTGTGCTTCGCAGCCGTACTCGTGCGGTCCGACAGAGGCGGCGGTGCAGTAGCTTGTTGGTCGCTGCCCAGCGGTCTTAGCGGACGCAGGCACGCTTAGGGACTGGAAAGGAGCTAAAACTCGTGAAACCGAACAACAGTTGAGAGTCTGTGTTTGCTTAGGATTGCAAGACCGGTCTCTTGGCCCCATACATACATACATACATACATACATACATACATCCATTCATCCATGCATGCATACACACATATACACACACGCATACCTACATACGTACATGTAGATATGCAGATATACACATACATACGTCCGCATAAAGAACCACACACATAAATGCACGCATAGATTAAGCACAGTACGTAAGCAAAACAGGTGAAGCAAATGATTATGCATGTATATAGACATCGGTGTGTACCATATGTGTGTATTGACATACATACATACATACATACATACATACATACATACATACATACAGGCATACATACATACATACACACGTTAAATACATGCATACATACTCATACAGATAAACATAAACGAACCAAATGTCCACTATAACATACATATATGTAGCAAACACACACACACACATATATATATATATACATATATGTACACTGGTCACTAGTATGCTGTTCATATGCTCGCATCCAGTACTTACACAGACACAGACACGCAGTCATCAGCAGCTCAGAGCCGTCGGAAGTAGCGCCGTGGTGGGGCCTTCAGCAGATGGATCAAGCCTTCTTTTGAAGCAGACTGGCTCTCCATGTCGAAAAGACGCTGCGCCAGCAGCCCTGAGGACCAGAGCAAGTTTGGGCTCAAGGCAAGGGCCTCTTCGGAACTGTTAAAGGTCTGTGTTGGCACACTGTTTTGCTGTCGCTGCCCGTCCAGGGCGACGAGTTGCAAGAGACATGGCATATTTCACGTCGCACTGAACAGTGCTGGGATGATCCAGTGCAGCAGTCAGATCATGCAAAGGACCTGTTCTGAAGAACAAACTGGGACCTCCCTGGCACCTCAAAGTCTCCTGCAGAATCAAGTTTTGAACGTGGAACACCTCCAGCATGGAACCCTAAGCCCCAAATTCAAAGCACATGCAAAAGGTCTCTGCCCGCCTTCCACATCGTCCTGGAAGTCTCTCAGGATTCACGGCTTTGCTCCAGGATTCATTCCCGATCCGCGTTGCGGCTGCAGACTCTTTGCCCATGCGGGATTGATGAATTACTGGTCTCCAGCTTGGGGCTATTCAACTATGTTTATTCATTGCTGTTAACATTCCCTGCGCCGCGGCTTCCACTCTATATGCAGCTGGTGCATGTTTGTAGCTGTTTCACACGTAGACGTATGAGTGTAGGCGTTTATGCATGCATGTACGCATACGCGCATGTATACGTATATGGCTTTATGTGTACATGTGTGTATGTATGCATATATATATATATATGTATGTTTATGTTACATGTATACCTGCATGCTTGTATCTTTAAGCATCTCTGCATGTGTATGCATGTACGCACTTATGTAGAAACAGAAAGTGAACGTGTGTGATAAGATCTGCATCTACAGCTACATCTGTATATGTATATACACACACACACACATGTAATCATGTATGTATGTGTACACGTAAGTACACACGCACACAACACACACAAACACACCGATTCATGACAATCGGTCTAGACTTGTCTGCCGGCTGCCCGTCTGTTTCCTGATCTCTCCATATCCCTTTCATTGCCTCTGTCTCTCTCTCTCTCCCTCCCTCGCTGCACTTGCAAGGCTTGAAACTTCAACGAGACCTGCATGGCCCGACCCACCTCGGATTCTTCGCTGGAAGCACCTCATTGCCGGAGGGCGCATCGGTGAGGTCTAAAACTTTACTAGTTGTATTGCCAACATCAACATTCCGGCTACATTGTTGTATCATCACCATCACCGCCCTGACCTTCATCAAGATCCTCAATCTGGTCGTCGTCGTCACCTTCACCGTCAAATCAGCGTCATGAACAGATGCCGACGAAACTCATTAGCACGTTCTTTCTCGCCTAGGCGGAAGCTTGTCAGCTTGTAGAACTCAACCAGGCAAGAACAGGAGAGGCAAGACGACTGAGGACAGGTCGAAAAACCGAAAACATCGATGCCAACGAAGGGCAAATTGTCAACAGAACCGTACCCTACAGAGACAAGCCTCCCCGGGAAAAGTATCTGAGAAAGAAAAGCGCTGCTCAAACAATACCCCAAACTAATTTAATTATCCTGAACATAAAGCGAGCACATAAATCCTTTCGTGCAAACCCGCGAACACAAGCGCAAGCACCGAAACATGTGGTTCGACTGGAGACCGTTCAAAATCGTAAACCCAACAGAAGACCAGGGGTCCTGCTGGGCACGACGCCGATCGATGGGATCTGAAACCTGGAATTGCAGGCTTACGTGTGGGATTCTTGAGGGTCTAGTGCTCACTGGACTCTACGACAGCAGCGGCTGATGATGGGAACCAAGGGAAATGTGTTCACGTGCACGGTATAGGATCGGGAGATTCCAGACTTGGCCGCACTCTGCTTCCTGTTTGTCGGAAGCTGAGGCTCTGCTTGCAGAGGCCCCGACGGTGGCAGAAGGCTAATAGCGACTGTAGGATGCATCGGCTGCTAGAATTTTTTTTACATGCGGAATCTTGCCTGAAGGTGCTTTGGTCCCCGTCCCTCCAAGAAGCATTTAAGTAACAGCTCAGGGACTGAAGCGTCTCCACGCCGGACACCTGTGGGCAACTCTTGAGCTGTTTCGGGGACCCGGGTAATTAGGGACTCAGGGAGTGGGGTTTTGAACTTGAGCTTTTGGTGCCACATGATGCCACTGTGCCGGGCAAAATGCAGCTCAGTTGAGAGCCAAAGGATTGCAGAACGGGCCCTTCCTTCAACGACAACGGGAGGCTTGCCGCAAGTCCATTGCACGAATTTATTCAGTAACGTGCGATGGCTCCAGGCTCACTTGCGTCGGAGTATGGAAACTTGGTTCCTCATCATTGACTAGTAACAGCAGCATGTCCCACAAGCCTAAAAGCCCTTGAATGTGCTCCAAGGTTCACATGTGAATAGCACTTCAGTCCGCCTGGCAAACCCCGAGAAGCTTTCATTACCCGAAAATACCGACACTCAGCAGATTTGGAAAAACGCTTGGGTAAGGTTCGCTCCACACTCTGCGGCAGCCCGAATTTCCGAGCCTTGCGCGATGAGATGCTGGTGTCAAGGCCATCCTGGCCGTCCTGCACCTCGCGGAGACAAAGCGCCCGAGCAGAGTTCGAGCTGTTCCGACGTTTTTCCTCCTCACCTTCCTCCACCGTTAGAAAGAGTCAAGCCGACGTTCAGTGCAATACTGCTGACACTAGCCACTTGTCATGACCTTGTTCTTCTCGCCAGTTTGCGAAACATGGTCTCATCATCGTCTATCTTTTGACCCTGGTAGTGGTGTCAAACTTATAGTGCACCAGCAGCATGACATCAGCATGCAAAATCTGAGCCCATCCGACCGTCAGGCCGGCATAAGGCATAAGACGTGTGGGCTACGATATTTCATCATGGGTCTCTTTCTGTGTCCCCAGGGTGAACAATTGCTCGCCTCATCGACTTCTTCGCTTGCCACGGATGCATCCTGCGTCCAAACAGGGTCGCTCAGGAGATCAGGGTTTGTGGTCCAGGGGTGTCCCGTTGTTCGGAATCAACTCGGAAACTTCTACAACTATGCAGCAGTGGATTCTTGGCCTCAGGGTTGGGTTTTCGAATTCCATGGCATGGAGCCAAAAAGGTTCAACGTCAGGGCTAACAGCAAACAGCACTTCGATGCCGTTTTCCTCGCCCATCATCGGCAGGGAAGCGGAAGAAGACCGTTCGCTGGGCTCCTGTGGCAACGGCGACGCGGCATGTTGGCCTTGATGAAGTATGACGCTCCAACTGGATTCAGGGCTCGGGGGTTTAAGGTGTAGTCCAGGCTCATGTCAGGTTCCGCTTGCGTGTCCAAAGTAATTCCTTGCCATGGCGAAGTCAAGTCCTTCAGCGACGGCAGCGGTGGCAGGTGGAGTTGTCCGGGCCTTGCCCTGGCGAAGGGCAACGCCTGGGACAAAACATGGACAGTGGACAGGATGTGAAGAAATGGCTGCAGGCTGCTGCAGTGTTGAGCGGCATGGGTTCGCAAGGGTCTTGTGGGCTTGCGCATCCACTCAAAGTTTTGGGTGAAGGTTCCAGTGTTGCTCGTCAAAGTTGGGGACCTGTGGCTTGCCTTGTAAGTATGGCAATGGGTCTTTCCAAATTAATAGTGTCTGTGGCAGGGACCACACACGAAAACGGCACTTTAGTGATTCGAGTTGTATTTTGTGTAAGACGAGTGCAATGAACGCAATGCTTTCACTTCCGGCTGTGCTTGTTTGCATGCAGTGTGTGCATGAGCTTTTTATTAACAGTGGACAGTACGGATCATGCCGTGACTATGTGTCGGCAAGGTGTCTGCACCGGGCGGAAGGCAACGCATCGCGAATGGCCACTTATCGTCAAGAGATTCTTGAATCCTTGCTCTCCTTTCCCCAGCTGAAGCCAAATCCGAAACTCCCAGACCCTCAAAGCTCCAAGCTTTCTTACACCAGGGGCCGGCCCCTGCTAGTATCCCAAAACTCCACCTGACGCTGGGCCCACGGCCAAGGCAAAAACTTGAGGAGCTGCTCCGGCGAGGCGCACCGTCGAGTGGTGGTCCACGAGGGGCAAGAGCTGCCGCGCGGTGCTTGCTTTAGAGCTCAGCCGCGGTGCTGCAGAACAAATGAAAACTGGCTCTAGCTTCGGCAATAGAAAGCGCCAATTCAGTAGCTCCTGCTCTTGACAAGACCGCAAGAATTCCATCCACCGCAGACTGGCCTTCAGGATCTCTGCCGCAGCTGCGGTATCAGCCTCGTCACTAAGGAGAGGCTGCCCCGGCTCACCTGGTGTCCGGAGATCTTCTCAGCTTCACTGTGGCAGGCGACCAAAGTTTGACAAGCACTGCAGGGACAGTGCATCGCACGGTTGTGGAACTTGCTCTACTGAGCTGGCCAGCTGGCAACGTGACAGACTTTACACATCGCTGTCGACGTGCAGTTGAGTATCCTCTACAGCGACTCTGGGGGTCTATTTCCACTTTGGGTCAGGAGGTTTGAAAGCTGCTTATGATCGGGCGGAAGGGTTCCTTATGACTTTCCCAAGCACGAAGGATCTTGCAACCACTTGCTTCCGGATAGCTGCACAGGTAGAAACCTCATACAACTGCATGGGGCGCAGGTCCAGGTAGTACGACCAGCTTTTGCATGTGGCCTTGTGGGATCATGGGCTTGTCCAGTCTCGTGGGCTCTCCCTGTGCTGACGTCCCTGCCCAAATGCAACGGCGAGGGCCTTTGCTCAACAAGTCGTCCACCAAGTCGGCCTGTCTTGTCTGCATCGTTTACTACCTTCTGTTTGAGGTTAGCCGTTTCCTCCTTGCGTGTGCACCGAGCCCGTGCACATGTGCCTGTGGGCAAAAGTTATGTATGCATGCATGCATGCGCGCACCTATGTGTCTGCGTGTATGTGCATGTGCGTAAATGTGTTAATTAGTATGAACAAGACGCTGCAAGCGCATAAACAGATAAAGCATTAACATACACACACACATATATATATATATATATATATATACATATGGGGCTGTCCTTCATTATAGTTGCAGCTCGTAACTCGAAAATCGCCTTGCGCTTCGCCCTTGCGGGCTCTTGCGCTCAGACGGTTTTGAACGTATTTCCATCTGAAGCCTAGATAAACCTTCTTACACTACTTTATCGCCCATGCGCTCGCCCTTGCGCGTGCTTGCGCCGTGCTGGTTTTGGAGCACGTCCTAAACATGCATCAAAATCTTAAAGTGCGCTGTTAGTCTACGGTCAAGAGGCGGGGGTTTAGAACAACTTTTACATATACATATGTAAATAAACAAATAAATACATAAATAAATATATATATAAACATAAATAATTAAATAAATAAATATAGATAGATATATATATATATATATATGTACGTACGTACGTACGTACGTACGTACGTACGTACGTACGTACGTACGTACGTACGTACGTATGTATGTATGTATGCAGTATGCATGCATGCATGGATGT